TTTGGTACTCAAAGGATTTTCTAGCCTTATTCCAAGGTATCGAGGACATGTGTGTTAAAATAACCATGGTACTGTAGAACAGTCTTGTAAATACCATATGTCAGAGGAAAAAATATACAGCTAAATGCATGTCGGCATCAGCTCCTGCAGTTTCGTAGGAGTTCTGGCCATGGAAGTGAAGCAAAGCTGGACCAGCTGAAGGTTACAGTTTTACATAGAGCTTGCGCTGCGCTTTGAAAGGACATCTGAGGTGGTGATTAGAGAACTGTACTGGGACCCAGCAGGCTGGTAGTAAGCTCCTGTTCTGCTGCAAATTTCCTCCATGAAGTTGGGTTGTCAATTAGGTTTTTTTTTTTTTCTCTCAGCAAAATAGGAATAACAGTGCTTGCTTTTTCCCAATCCTTAGCTAGTCTTATTTATCTAGACTGTAAGCTCTTGAGAGAAGGAATTGCATCTGGTAATGTTAGCTACAATCCATTCAGTGGAACTCTTTTAAAACTGGAGTTAACAACTTTGTAATCAAATACTGAAAGGTGCAGTCCTGAAGGAAATGTGCTAATGACAGAACTACAGTGGGAAGGGAAAGCTGGATAGGAAGAAGAGATGAAAAAAATCTGAAGCATCTATTTTACTGCTCCCTGAGCAGAACTTAAATTGCATTCGACAGACGCAGAACCCAGACTGCATATGGATAACCATACTGGTAGAGGTGACTTCAGGTCTCACAGTCCACAGACTCCCCACCAATGCTCCTCCCTAAACAGTTGGTTTGGGCTTCTCCTGAGTTCTAGATCAAAGTCTTGACAAAGCTAAGAGCAGATGTATTTTTCCCACAATTTCTTCAGTCTGTGTAGATGTGGAAGAGAAGAACGAAAGACCCCTTGCACTCACGAGGAGGTGCAAGGAGGGGATCAAAAACCAGAAATTACAAAATACTGAAAAGGTACCTGTATGATTTTCAGTAATTTACTAAAAATGAGATAGGGCCATTATTGTCCAGGGATGGCATTAAAGACTTCCTCAGTCTTTTCCAAGTAAGCTTGGCTGTCTTAATGTATTTGATGCCAGGCGTAGGTCATGTCAGTTTTCTGGGAAAAAGGTTGCAAACCATAATTTGCTTATATAACCTACAAAGTTGTTGGAGCATACAGTTAAAAAAAATGTTAATAAAAAATACAGAAAGGCTATGTAATGTGTTCCACAAGCAAAGCACTGACTTCCTTTTTGTTTCCACTTGATTTGATAGTAAAGTAGAAATGGGAAGAGTGCTGTAATTTTTTCCTGCTGCTCTACATGTTGTAATAATAAAAAGTTCTTCCGTAGCTTTGACTAAAGCTGCTTTTGAGGCATGGCCAGAATATCTGCTTCATCAAAAATCATTAGGGGGATGTATCAACACAGGGGCAGTAAAAAAAGCCTATTTAAGTTATTCAAGTGCTTTCTGAGCATATGGTGCTGGGCAAAAATAGTCCCCTTCTTACAATAGTCCATGATGGGTGAGATATCTTGGGAGAAATTTTGGAAGAATAGGTGGTAAAAGCTAGAGAAGCTGAGAAAATGCTGAATTCAGAAAACATATTTAGAGACTATCAGTCCAGACTGCGACCACTAAAACCTTTTTCAAGTCATCAAATTTGTTTAAAGAGATGACATGACCCAGAAATTCTTTGAAGTGATCAGAGAAGATTTAAAGTAGTAGTTTTGTTTTTTTGTTTGTTTGTTTTCTTAAATCAGCATATATCTGCTGATGACAAATAGTCATCCTGGGAGTTTTTGTATGTGTCTATGCCACAAATGCCCAGAATTCATTAAAGGTGTGATTCAAAAATGTTGGAAAATAGCCAGGGCATTGGATATACCAAAAGGCAGAAGTGATGTATCTGGCTTACAGGACTGTTTACTGTCTGTCTGGACTGTTTAAGTTCCCCTCAAACCTTGATTTGTAAAAGTTTCAGCAGCATATGAATGACACACTCATTCAGACATCAAGGATAGTGGTTTCTGTTTTTCAGTATTAATTTTAGTAAATTCTTTGTAAAGTGGGATAAGGAAGGTACTGCTGATAAAAAAAGTATTCTAATTTTCTTGATTTAGAGAAATCTAGATTTCTCTTGCAGTTTAAACACACGTAGGGAGTAAATGCCATCAAAGAGCACTTGATTCTACATCAATATAACATGCAGCAGGCAGAATGTGACAAAAAGACATTAATGTCTACCTTTTCTTATCAATACAACCTGTGAATTTTCTCAGATGCCAGGAGCATTTATTTATTGGTGCCACAGACCTTTCAACCTGATGTTACCTTTACTAAGAAGACAGAAGATATTATTGTTTGTTCTAAAGAACTTGGGAATCACTTGAAAGGGAATGACTGAGTATGTTTTCTACCTGCAGTGGTACTACTGGGCCTGCAGCACCCACAATTCCTATGACTCCAGGCACAGATCCCTGAGGAGGCTGACTGATAATGCTTCTCAGGACACTTGTTTGGAGAGATTAATACTACTGAATACCACTCAGATTTTCTATTTCAGTTCACACAGGTGTCTGTACATGTAATAATTTGAAACCAAGGGTGTTCCCAGCTCTGCCAGGATATTGTTGGCTTCCTTCCACAGCAGCTGCTAGAAGTGACAGTACTGTAGAGCTGGATTTTGTTCTCTACGTCTGACCAGCCACTTCTGGTCTTCTTCTTCCCACTTCTGAATTATCATCTATTGCCCTTGCTTTAATTTTGTGAATTTATCTTCTGCCAGCAAAATTTTTCTGAGATATCCCTAGATCAGATAATCTCACTGTTTTGCCACATGGATTGATTTTTCTCACAGGGTACTGTAAAAGTAGCAATTCTCGTTACTGGAGGATACTTCTAAGTACTCCCTTGTACGAGTTCATTCTATAACATGGGACTAAGACTAGTCCAGAAAAACAAATTACATCTGTTTATATACAAAAAGAGGCTGATTAATGCTGGCAAACTTAAATGATGTGAGGAAATTAGCCTCCTGAAGAGCTGCTCATACACGCTGCTGTCATTCCTGATCAGATTGCTAATGGAGCAAGGACAGTGGGCTCTTGATAGTGTGCTGGTTTCCACCAGGCTGCTCTCACACTGGGAGTCCTCACTGGGGCTAAGTTACTTTGGACTGACATCCTACCGTAGTCCAAACTTATAAATACTCCACAGAACATACGTGCTGCCTGTAAGCAGGCTGCTCACTTAGTTTAGTTTTTGCACAGCATTCATCATTCCAGCAAGGCAGTCAGGAGATGAGGATCTAGCAAGACTTGGGGCAAAAAAGCCAGAATTCAAATAGGAGAGGAAAGGTAGAATAGCAGAAAGCCAATTGATTCTTTAAACAGTGACCTAGCTTTGGTCAGGACTGGACTCAAATATCACAGTACTACTTATCACTTAAGTGGTCATTCAGTCCTCTTATTCAGTCTATCCTGAAGGCAAATTTGGATAGGATAAAGTCATGAGTCAAAAAAATCACACTTTCTGCTGTGATAAACCTGCCTTAGTGCCTGGTGCCTTCTATTTATTAAGGAACACAGTGGTTGTACCTGTGAGAAGGGCACTGCTGAGAAATGCCTGCATTTCATCAGTTAAAATATCAGGAAGCAGACTCACAATCTGCAGAGGCCTAAATAGAGCTTTTAAAATTGGAAGCAGAACTGACTGACTGGAGGTTTTTTTTTTTTTTTTTTTTTTTTTTTTTTTTTTTTAAAGATAAACAGCATCAGCAAGCTAAATGGATTTGAAGCACAGCTTTAATTGTTTTTCAATCAGCAAAGGGCACCCTAGCTGGAGTAAACTCTAAGTACAATCAGGAAGATTTCACACGTACAGTAGATCCGAGGATAATCAAGCACCTCAGTGCTTGGAGATATTGTAGCATGTAACGAATAAAGCATTTTTATGTTGGCATAAACAGTACTGTAGTCTTGAGGTCAATTACCATACCTGGTCCATGTGCTCTGGCACAACAAACCTCACTGTCCTTGAAATTAGCATGCACACTGATCTCCAAACGTAAAGGACTCTGCAGCACACCTGGTCTGAAGTTGTTTATTGTCAGTGAAAGCATATGAGGGAAGAACATCCTGAACATCTCTTTCTTCCCAAAAGCCCCATTCTGTGTCTGACAGAACAGCAATGCTTTGGAGTGGGTAATTGCTGCAGAATCCCTTGGACCTTGGATAATGGAAATTATTTGGGTCACTAACCTGGCTTCCTAATTATAGGAAACTGAAAAAAGAAAGGAACAAAGATACAACGTGAAACCAGTTACAGGCTTCTGGCATTCTGCTTCCAGAAGTGTGGGATAACCCACTAACTCCCATCCCTTTCAGGTGTGCTCCATTTTAACCTTGAAGTCACAGCTCTTCCCCTCATCTAACACCTTCACACTACCAGCTGAGGGACCCTCTCTGGGAATTATGCTCTTTCTGCCAGCTCTCAGCTTTATTTCCCCTTCGGGATAGGAGTCGTCCACGGCAAATGAAGACTTCACACTGCAGTCCTCACTAGGACAGATGGGGAAAGAAACCATCCATCTTCACACATAGGCACGCACCTCAACGTAACCCCAAGCACACATCCTCCGCAATATCCCCCGAGCCGGGGAGCCCAAGGCACGGAGCGCCAGGACGAGGCCCGGGCGGGCTGAGTGCCACCTCCCCCGCGGCTCCGCTCCGCCCTCCCCCGGGCGGGAGGCAGCTCTCGGGCAGGTTCGGCGCCTCCCGGCCGCCCGGAGGGGGTTTAGGCGGCCCGGGTGGGAGAGCGGGGCGGAGCGGAGCGGGCCGGAGGCGGGTGCGGCGCGGACCGGTGCCTGTTGCCCCGAGAGAGTTAACAGCGCGGGGAGAGTCGCCGCTTCTCTGCCCGTGCCTGGCTCCTGGCAACCGGGGCGCCGCGCATGTAGGGCCGCCGGGGGCTGCCGGCGCCGCCGCCGTCCCCGTCCCCCGCCCCGGACAACGTGCCCAGGCGTGAAGTATGGCATGCAAAGATGGTTTCTGCCAAGGAGCCAGCCTTCGCCATGTCCTCGGGTCTCTCCATCGCCCTTCTGCACTGTCTGTGCCTGGCGACGTGGTGAGTTCCCCGGCCGCGGGGCGACCCCCACCCGGCACGGCTCGTAGCGGTGCCGCTGCCCCGAGCCGGGTGTCAGCGACTCCGCTCACCCGCCTCCTCTTTGACTCGTAGTCTCACCGGGCCGCCGGGACAGATCAAAAAAGAGGAGAAATTGTGGCCGGAGAATTTCACCAGCATCCTCAACAGTCTCCTGGATGGCTATGACAACCGGCTGCGCCCGGGATTCGGAGGTACGGGCGCGGCGCGGGGGTGACCGCCGTCCATCCGAGGGGCCCGCGGGGAGCGCAAGGCTCAGCCCGGCTCTCCGTGCGCGCAGCCGGGTCCGCGGCGCTGCGGGCGCACCGCTCGGTGGGGGTGGGAAGACTGTCCAGTGCTGGGATCTGCTGCCACCCAGGTGCCGGGGAGAGAAAGGGTAGTTTTGTCTGTGCTGCGGGGTCGTGTGGCTGATGGGCTCTGTCCAACTAGTTAGGGAAAGCCGGCACTCGGGAACCCGGGCACGCAGCAGTAACCCAAGTTGCTCCCGTTCCAGCTTGGATTTGGAAGTAGTCAGTTGCTGTGTAGGAATCGGGACTGGAGGGGTCGTGAATTTGCCCGCCCCCACGGTGTGGATGTTGGGTTTCAGTTTTTTTCTGTGCCCCTTGTGTTGTGAGCGAGAAGCCAGGTTGGCTCTTCAGTGTGGGTCTGGTGTTACTGTTGGGATGTGGAACTGAAAATAATCAGAATTGGGACAAAATACAAATTTATTTTATAATCTGGCATGGAGCTATTAAAACACAGATTTGAAAGTTTTTTTTTTTTTTTTTTTTTTTTTTTTTTTTTAGGTTTAAAAAGAAGTGCTACAATCCTTTTCATGATGTGCAAAGCTAGTAGAGCATTTTATAGGCTGCTTCTATGCGGAATTGAATGAGATCCTTGTGTAGGTTTATGTTGTGGAATACTTTCTTCCTCCTCTGAAAGTACCTTCTTCATACACGTGATACAGCCACACTGACGTGTATGCCAACACGTTCCATACATACCATATATTGTGCTCACATGCATGATCTCTGTTAATATCATTGATTGCTTCTTTATTTTCAGCGTATTGAATAAATGAGGCCTCCTATAGCTTAGCTTAAGTGGAAACTGAATTTATTGAACACCCAGAGGAATCATTAAGAACAGGTAGCTTTTTTTCCATCTACTCTCTGCTGAGAAGTTACAGACCTTTCTGCACGCATATGAGAGATGTGCTATGTTTGGCATCATTTGGGTTGAATGCCAACTAATTAGTCATCTAGCAAATATGCTTTATGAGCATTATTAGATTTCTAAAATTAAACAACTACTAAATATGTAATGTGACATACAGTTTATGTTGATTTTTATTTTGATGCAGTTGTCACTTATAGGATATTTTGCAGGATATAGGATACTTTTTCTACAGTGTTGCAGACTTTCAGCAAAATGCTATCAAAAACAAGAAGTTCCTTGAATCTCCTTGAACTTCCTTGACTGCAGAATTGAATTAAATAATACAAGGAAAAAACCTTCACATTTCAGTCTGAGGAAAACATTTTTGAGTATATATCTCATGAAATGAGTATTACATTACTATTTACTTCTTCCTTCCTTGTAATACCTAAATCAATCACCTTTGAGTTTTGAACTTCTAAGTAACACATGGGCAAACCTACTTCAATTTTGAAAACAATGCCAGGCACCCTAGCTATTTAGTGCAAGTTATTGTCGCCTTATTTGACAAGAACAAGAACTAAAAACCAAAATCAACCAGAAAAAGAAACTTCTCTGTAATGGTCAGATGTGACCTTTTGATACAACTCAACATGGTCTGCAGATTAGTTATGTGCTATCCAGATTAAGTTTTGTCCATATTATGTGTTTTTTTGCTGATAAGTCTTTTTGGCAAATGGGACTCGTTTCTTAGAAGTGGCTTGCTTGCCATTATAGAGCATAGCAAACAAATGTCATCATAGTGGGAATATTTAGAGATGGAAAGTGTAGTGTGTTTTGGTAACGCTAAAGCTGTTTTATGATGAGCAGCAGAATATTTTATTTTTGTTTTATTCCTGAAGCTGATTCACCATCTAGATTGCACGTGGCTCAAAATGAAATGAAGGTTTTATTTTAAGAACAAAAGACCTCTCAGTGGTCTGACCGATGCTGATTTTAATCTTCAAATCAATGAAAACACTTCTAATTCTGGTGCAAGTGAAGTTTAAAATCGGGCTTGGGGAGCTAGCCAAATTCTGAATTTTGCTGGCTTATTCTAGAGTAACTATAAATAACAACTCATGAAGATTTTTGCATGCAAAGTAGAAAATATTAAATTTTGGAGAATTCCTAAGACCGAATCCAGTCTCTCCATGCCTCATTAATAGCACAAAGTTAGTGGTTATAAAGAAGTTAAATCACCTGAGCATGCTTATGAATGTAAATGTGGCTTCTCAGGAGGGTTGAACCTTAATGGAGTATATGGATCTTGCCCTGTTATATGTTATTTAGTAGCATGGCTTACCTTGAGGGTAAATAGAAGAATTAAGTTTCTTATGTCATTTGATGAACACTGAGCATTACAAAGTTGCTTCATGAAACAGGTTAAACAATCCAACAGGTTGCTGTCAGTTATTAATCACTGAAGGGTTTGCTAATAAAATAAACAAAACCAGAAGGGTTCATGAAGGAGGTTGAAAGTTCCCCTCGACTTTGGGCGGGAAGAATCTAAATCATCCTTAAAAGAAGCGAGAGGAGCAAAGAGGTTTCAAGAAGAAATTTAATTAAGTAGAGCAGAATAGGAATTTTTGTGCATGAAAAGAACCCCGCAAGTGCTGTCAGGAAGACTTTAAAGTATAACAATTTGAATTTCAGTAGTGGGAAAGTATTTGGAAACTAATGAATGAAGTAATGCTCCATGATGTTTGAAAACAGTGTAGTGGAAGTAAAGTCTGTCTATGTACCATTTTGCTGCTGTCCTGAATTTCAGAAAGAAGTTTTTAGTGCATGTGGATTTCCCAGTCATGTACAGCCTGTAATCTAACAGATTATAAACACAGAGTGTTGAGAGAAGTCACCTGCAGTGTCATTAATGAAAAGCGTTATCTGCTGTAAAACTTCATGTTACCCAACTGCTCTTTTGATTCAGGTGTAAAATTCTGAAGGAAAACCACTTACGCCTTTATTCCAGCTTTTATTTGCTTTTGAAATTTTTGCATGTGACAAAAAAAAAAAAAAAAAGAAAAAAAAAAGAAAAAAGAAAACTCTCTAGAAAATTAGAAAACCTTGATTTTTCTCTGAAAATCACTTTGTTACCTTTCCACCAGTGATTATATTCAAAATGGTTGTAGAACAACTTTTTGATATAGGAGTATTATTCACTTGGAATAAAAGGTCTGAATCTGTTTTGCCATTTTAACACTTCTGTGGTTTTAGACCTTACATGGGGAACTGACAGAAGTGAGGGCCCATGAGATCCAATTAAAATATCTGCTGGATCACAGAACCACAGAGTGGCTGGGATTGACAGGGCTCTCTGGGTCCATCAGACCCAGCTCGAGCAGGGTGCCCAGAGCCACATCTAGGTGACTTAAGAAGATTTGCAAGGAGGAGAACTCCACAGCCTCTCAGGGCAGGCTGTACCAGTGCTCCATCACCTGCAAAGAGCAGAAGTGCTTCCTGGTGTTCAGAGAGAACCTTCTGTGTTCCAGTTTGTTCCCATTGCCTCTTGTCCTGGCACTGTCCACCACTGAAAAGATCTTGGCTTCATCTTCCTTGAACCTTCCATTCAGGTATTTATGGGAATTAATGACAACCCCCTGAGCCTCCTCTTCTCCGAGCTGAACAGTCCCATCTCTCCCAGCCTCTCCTAATATGAGAGGTGCTGCAGGCCCTTTGTCATCTTGGTGGCCCTTTGCTGGACTATTTCCAATATGTTCAGGTCTCTGTTATAATGAGGGACAGAGAGTTGGATGCAATACTCCATGTGTGGCCTCACCAAAGCTGAGTAGAAGAGAAGGATCACTTATTAAGATTATGAATTTAAAATATTATGGTAACTTTTAAAACTTATGTGATATGCTAGCTCATTACACTTCATTTAGAAAGCCAAGAAGGAATGAGGCAGCTGTGGGAAGTTAGAAGAGCATCCCTTGCAATGCCTGTGTATCTGCTAATTCTAATGAATTTTTCTGCTAGATGTGCCTCTGATCTTGGGAATTTTGTTTTTCAGTAAGATTAAAGAAAGAAGATGTGTGGCATGTCTCCTGTTCAAGGCTCTTAGGTTGACAGAAAAACCCTCTGATGTTAGGTCTTAAAAATCCCTTCTGAGCCAGGCTGTATTGTCCACCGAATCTTCCTTGCTCCTTGTGGTGTAGCTGTCCATCAGTCAGTGAAGACTGGAGCTCTCTTTCTCCTTGGTTCTGCTTATTTTTGTGTAGTACACTTTGGCATGAAATCTCACTGTCAGCTACTGAAGTGGTGATTGCACTTCATCTTTCTGTTCAAAAGTCTCCATGCGTTCTGGCTCATGAGTAGAAGGAACAGAACCGTGTTCTCTCCTTTTTCCTTCCTCTTTCTCTTGATCTCATAATTGTGAAATTGCAATGGGATACCTTGTGGAACTAAATATATTGGCCACTGTCTCCTTAAGAAGACTGTGAGAGACCATTTCTGCCTCTTCTAGGCTGTGCCGTGTTCAGCTTATGAGTGTTTCTAAGTTTCATTTCCTGTCAAAGCAAGAGAAATGACTGTATTCAGGAAATAGATGCAGAATAATTGTGAAGAGGGCAGACAATTTTCTATTTAGAAAATAAGAGTATCTACATTATTATCTTCTTCTATTAAAAAACTCATACATACCTTCAAGATTCCATTGTCCAGCATAATAGATTTTGTATTTATTTATTTGTTTGTTTATTACAAATGGACTGGCTGTGAGCATCATAAAGTGAAGGTAATCATTTTTTTTCTTGGGCAATTTTCCAATCTTCTTCAGCTGATGAGAGCAGATGATTCAAAGCCTTGTTAACAGGATATGGTGTTATATACCTGTAGTTGACTAGTTTGAATTTGGCCCAGGTCCATAATGCTTGAAGTCATTACCATCTGTTTGTTGTTCAGTGACCTATATAAAATTAGCTGATATTCTTGGTCCAGTTCTTTGTAGACAGGTGCCCACGCTGTGAAAACAGGCACCAGTGTCAACCTTGTTGGCTGTATCAGCAGAGTATCTGCTGAACAGACAAAGAAACAGAACATTCTCCTCATCTCTGGAGTTATGTTTTTCCCTGTTCAAGGTTTAGACATTATACTGGAAGAATGTAAAAGTTGCTATGTGCTGTTGCATTCAATGTATTTACCTCTGAATAAAGAATGTAGTCCGAGTATTTGAAATGACCTACCCAGTTCTAAGTTCCCAAGAGAAATTTTACATGTAGCAGATGTCCTCTGGTATGGAATTAAACAAGAGAGCATGCTTTTTATACAATTGTTTTTTTATGCAGCAGGCAAAAACTTGAAAAGAAAGCATATTTCACAAACTGCTACTGTGTGTAGCAGCTTCTTTTTTTTTTTTTTTTTTTTTTTTTTTAAGATGTAGACGTGGAAAGTGATGTAATGTAATTTCATGTATCCCGGATTGATCTCATAACAGCGACCACGCTTAGCATTTCAATTGTACTTTGCACGTTGAGACCTTTATACAGACTTGTTTGCTAAGGTTTGCAGTTGCTTGTGTGACTCTTGATGGCAGAATCTCCAGTCTGCAGTGAGCCTGTGCAGGATTTGACTGTTTACATACAGTGGAGATCTCTGTGGTGACAGTTGCCTATGGAAACGAATGGATAATGGAGTCCAAAGTCTTTTACTGGGAGTTCTGCTGCAGTTCAACCCATATGTTGGCATCAAATGCATGGGAGAGCTGTCTTATGTTCCTCTTCACAGGGTTAGGGCCCGGTATCACTTCTGCAGCCCACATGTAGCATCTCTATCAAGCACTGAACTATTCTGGCTTTTTGCAGGGGTTGCTTTTAATTCTACCAGAGCTTCTTTAAAGTATATTATCTTACAGGCAGTGATTCAGACTTAACTGTTCCCACTGCAGTGTGTAGGACTCTCCTCCTATTTCATTGACATAAGAATACACACCAGTATATTAAAAATAGTTCTTCAGTGTTCCTGAAGACTTATGGTGATTAGATGTTTTCTGAACATGCACTGAAGGGGAAGTACAGGTGGTCATATTTAAAGTAGATTGCCCTGCATTTTATTGCCAGCTGTAGAAGTTTAAGTTTTCTTATAGGATCTTCTGCTTCCACAGCCCAAGTTGATTAAGTGGTGCAACATGCTTATTTTGGAAGGCTCCTTGAATCACTAGTAAAAGTAGGTTAGGTGACTGCAAACCACCTCTTTGTTGACAGGAATTCCCATAATTAATAATAATTAAAAAAGAAAAAGGCATGACTCACTCTTTCTACCCCTGCTATAGTTTCCGATTGGAATTAGTATATTCTGTTCTACAATGAGCAGAATAGAGGATAGGTTCTGGTATCACCGTGGCTCTCTTGGCTTGGCCTTGAGTGCTGGGATGCTCTAGAAAATCCAGTATTTGCTCTTAACAGTTATGGACTGACATCGTAGGTGAAAGATGTGGTACAGGCCTGTAGATGGGAGGAAAAGCATTAGGGGAATAATTAGCTTTCACTGTCCCTTGCAGTTGTCTTTTCTCCTACCAAACATTTTAGCGTTTGACCACAGTTTTGGATGCAATGAAAGGATTTTCACACCTGTAATATGTGGATATTGTTTATTCCATTGTGATGCCTAAAATGTTTGCAGATCCTTGTTTATCTGCCATTATCTAGAGGCCTAAAACTTGTTTTGAACATTCGTTTTGTCACCATACTGCCATCACGTCAGGGGAGAAAGCAAAGGTAAACTTTAATTTCAGCCTTATCTTGTGGCTTCATTATCTGTCCTGCTTCCTTCTGTCTCGTGGGTCCCACTGGTAGATACAAGTTTGAAAGCAGAATAGTAGTTACTAGAAGCACAGTTTTTATTCCTGTGTTGCTGCAATCAGATTCTTAATAGCATGAAATCATAAGCTTTCAGATTTTGAGGTTAATTTCCTGATCTTAGAGCTTACCTTCTTTCCAAGAAACCCCAAAAAATAAAGTTGCAAAGAGTCTCTGAGTGCTGTTGCCTGTGAAGCTGTAGTCTAATAAAACAAATGAAGTCAGTACTTGAGGAAAACCAGCTCCTGCTTATGGGAAAAATGTTCCCTTTTGCTCTGTTTGATACAATTATAAAATTACAGTGTGCTGTGAGGTAAAGAAAAGAAGATACCATAGAGATACCAATCCACTACAGGTGATTTTGTTCTCTTTCTAGAAGTATAACTTTCAGTACTTTTTTTTTTTTTTTTTTTTTAATTGTTGGGTAACAAAAGACTCGAGCAATGTGAAACAATGTCTCTGTCATTTCTATAGAACTTTGATTTCAAAAACATTTTGACTTCACCAGATTAAATAAATGGATACTATGTGTGAATATGTATATTGTACGTAGTTTACCCTAGATAAATGATAGTGTGGTGATTATGGGAGATCAGATATATTTGGATTGCTTGTGTTTCTATGTTCTAAGTATGATTGGGCTTTTCTTTCCTGTTTTTTAATCCTGCAGGTGAAATTTTTCACTTCTAGTATTGACAGCTCTGAGTTTTTTCCCTATTTCTTGGAGCTCTGTGGAAATAATTATATTCAGGAAATTTAATTGGACTACATTGTCAGTGACATGAGTGGTCCAACCACTCACAGGTTTCTGTACCATGACGAATACTTAAGTATTTGTAGAAAGGGAAGCAGCTTCCATTTGACATGTTTAGAAGAGCAGAATGTTATGAGTGTGTGTTATCTGGAACTTGGGAAATTCTTAAAACCTCTTTGAGACAGACGTGCTGAAGGATCCAGCTTTCCAGGGACCACTGAGCTACCAACTGTTGTAGGGTGATTTTTCTTTAGATTTTATCTTGGAAAAAATGTCTCTGTACAGAACTGTTAACTTCCATTAAAGAGTCTGTTTCTTGACATTTAGCTGAAAAGTTCTTAGCTGTTCTTCTATACATAACTTGCAAACTGCTCACTGAAATAATTTTATATGGTTTTCTTTTACATTTTGTTCACAGTTTGACACTTTTTCTAGATGCACAAAATATAGCTTCCCTGTTTTCCAGTTGCATATTTATTTCTCTCCTCTTAATATTTGATTCAAAATGATATTGTCTGTGAACAGCAATTATTTTTTTTTCTTTCCAGAGGCATAAATTCTTCGGCTTTTACTTTTCTTAAGTCTTCCTTCTTTTTAATTTTGTATTACAAATACTATGATAAATCCTGAATTAACAGACTTGAGGCACTTATCTTCTTTGTGTGTCAGGAGAGAAACTGTGGTTGCGAATTTGTAGATTATACTGTGTTTTCAAACAAATAATGTTTGGTGAGAAAACCAGCAGATATTCATACATTTGTGATGTATGTTCACTACTCAAATTAAGCCATTAGGTAATGCTTTGATCACAGAATTATAACTATAATTATTAATAATTAGCAGTTTTCTAGAGTTTTACATTGGGAACTGATATAAATCCTGCATATGTACTTACAGAAAACTCTAAAGTTCCCAGTTGTAGATGCCATTCTTGTATTTCAAGTTGCTTTGTCCTGTCTTGGAGGGACTGATCATATTGATATGAAGTTGCTTTCTCTGATGATTGCTTGACATTCCCAGCTATGAATATTCAATGCTTTGGTGCACTGTTGTAAATAACAGTAGCTCTTGCAAGAGGGGCTGTGTAGTAGCATGTGTTCAGACTCCCCAGAATACTAAGATACCCAGCTCTTACTTTGTTTGTCAGTATTAAATAACTTAACTATTGATTTGGATGTGGATGCATGTCTTGATCCTGCTAAATTGCCTAGTGTGTAGCACAGTAATATCTGTGACCTGGTTATTACCAATAAGACTGAATGGTAGCAATAAAGACCTTGGGGAATGTGGATTTCTTGAATTATGTGCTTGTTGTTAATCAGCATGGTGTTTTACTTAAGTCTTTTAATTTGTTGGTACCTGTTTTCTTATCTGCTGAGTCAATGCTGGTTTTCTAAATGGGAATTTGCATGCCTTTGACTTACCTGTGGAGTAAAGACAGTTGAGTAGATCTTGTTGTTAAAGACATATCTGAAATGACCTGTTTTTGCATTTTGCTCTTGTTTGTCCACAGAACCCTCAAAACAATAACTGTTCACATGCCAGGATCACTTATGACAATTGTTGACCTACAAAATTCACATTTTCTTGCTCAATTTTCATATATTAGGTCCTGTTACTGAAGTCAAAACAGATATATATGTCACCAGTTTTGGACCTGTTTCTGATGTAGAAATGGTACGTATTGCTGGAACTAAAATGCCATTTCCTGTTTCTGAGAAACCATTAACTGCAGTAAGGAGTGGATGATTAATTCATGTCTCTGTACTGTTCTGTCAATCATACAAAGTAGACAAGATTAGTAACGGCTTAATTTATAGCTTATAATTAGATACAGCAGGCCTGATTCTGATCGCACTTGCACTGTTTTTTGTCTGGTTTAAGGAAATTTCTTCCCAAAAAAGCAGATTTTTGTGGTGTAGAGACAGAATCAGGCCTTGTGGGGAGTGTCACAGTAAGCATACTGTGGGGGAAAAAAAAGTAATGTCTTTGAAATTGCCTTTCCCTTCTCAAATGCGTGTTATTCTCAGGTAAATAGTAACGACATAATTTCACAAATACTTGTTGACATTTTCTTTTCAGATGAATTCCCTTTGTTGGTCTTTGGGCCACTTTTAGCATCAATTTCAGCAAACATTTGACTAATAGGAGTTTTCATAACTGTCTGCAGAAATTGAATGTCAAAATGACATGCACAAAGTATTCACTGAAGACAAACATTGCATTTGCTTGTACTGTTATTTGTACCTGAAAGGCAACTGCATTTGGGGTCAAATCCACTGCAATGTGCCTACAACATACCCTTAAATCACACAATGGTTTCTCATTTCTTGGATTTTTTTATATGAAACATGGAAGTAACAGAGCCATATGTACATTTATATGTTTATACTTCTCTGAGGGAAAGGCAGTTTCATGGCGGTAATGTCCTTCATACATGGTGCTATCCTGCGCTTTCTGGGGCAAGTGATTGGTTCTATCCTGGGGAAAAGTATGTGACAGCAAGCTGTTTTTATTCAAGGACTAGGTCCTTATGCTTGTCTTGTGTGGAATTGCATCTTACACATTCAATGCACAGTATGATGCTGTTCAATGTGACAAAGGGTCCAAGAATGTGGAATAATAAGTCTAGTAATGTGTGCCACCACTCTAAATTGAGGGCTGCAGTGAAGCATTTTATATGCTGCCTCATGAGAAATTACTGGTTACCTTGGAGAAGGCAGGAGTGAAAACAAGAAATGGAGGTAGGTAAGGAACTGGCAAAAAGAGAATTTACAGCAGATGTTTCCCCTTTTGTCATTAGGGATTGATTAGGAGGCTTTTCAGGGATCTTGGAATTGGTTTTGAAATGAATATACCCATTGTGATATGAATGTGGCTGTATTCACAAACCTTGTTGAAAGTGTGGAGTGTGAGAGTCTCAGAATGGGATAATCTGAATGTTTTTTTAGAACTGGTTTAGTTTGATTCTCAGAGTTATGAAAAAGGTTGAACTCTCATTTTACAAGATCTATCATGTGCATGCTGATAACAGAAACTGCTACAGCAAGCTACAAAATTATTAGCAAGAGATGACAGAGAAGAGAGACTTCTCATAGACTCACTGTTGTAATGCAAAAGTGTCAGCACTTCTGCTCAAGAATTACCAGTCCTGAAGGAAGAACACAGAGGAAAGTTAACATTCATCAGTTTAATAGAGAGGTACTCGTGTTATGGGGAAATTGACTGGTCAGTCCCAGCACCAGTGGTTGTCGACTGGAATAGTGTCTGCTCTGGGATCATCCCCATCGGATGCCAGTGGCAGCAGGCTAGCAAGATGTCTGCTAACCATCCTTAGTACTGCCACAATATATATGAGTGGGAGACAATAAAGCATTGTGCATCAGGATAGTCAAGGCCATGCACAGAAAGAGAGGATACTTAGTTACAGCTGTAGAGCAAATTTCTTCTCCATGCAGAAGCTAGAGGTGGTTTACTTGTCTTCCCAAGGTAACATGAGCCCTTTCTAGTCTCCTGTTCAGGCCATAATCTGCACATTTTTCCACACAACAGTAAAGCAAGATGGAGTATACATCCATAGAAAAGAAACCAAATGTAGTTCTAAGATGCATTACACTTGTAGAGATGCATCCGTGCCCATATGAATATGACCATACAAGTAGTTTAAAGTGGTAATAATATGCAGAGGAGTTTGAAATGAATTCTAAGTGCATTATTTGGCTTAACACAAAGATGCAGCTTTAAGTTACAAGGGACTGAAGTTTCCTGTGCTACCTTCTTCAATGCTGTGTAATTGTTCTCGTAATTGTTTTAAAATGCTTTAACTTCCCAAGATGAGAAATGCATTCCTTTATCAATTAATTTGCATGTGATTTCTCATGATGTACTTGCGTCTGCAGTTCTGCAGTTTATATGTTTCCTTTGGAGCACTTGAATAACTTTTCTGAGGAATTGAATGGAATAGCTATGTTGTTAAAAATAAATGTGCGTTTTTACAAGTCTATGAATAGTTCATTGTATGTGTTTTGTGGACATGACAAAGAAAATGTTCAGCTTTCCTCTATTGAAAGTTCACTTTTAATCAGTTGAAGTTAAATTTCCCTTTTTTGGCTTTGAAATGGAAGTAATCATTTCTCCTGATACTTTAGTTTATCTATTTATTTTATTTTATTTTTTCAGTGCTGGCTATCTTTTCTTTAAAAATGTCTTTTAAAATGTTGACATTTGTTGTTACAGATCATTTTGTTTCCAGTTATATACTTGACTACAAATTAAACTGCCTGCTTCCTGCAATCTAATTAGATTAATTATTCCTTAATGATTAAACATGTGTATCAATTTATTGATATGACTAATGTGGGAAATTAAGTTAAGGAGTACACAAAAATATTTAATTGGTGACATTACGTTTGTGTGGTGGACTTAGCATTTTCTTTACTGCTAGTTTATTTGCTCCTGAGGGATTTCTTTTCTTTTTTTTTCTTTCTTTCTTTTTCTTTTTTTCTTTTTTTTCTTTTTTTTTCTTTTTTCTTTTTTTTTTTTCAGGAAACACTTATACAAGCAAATGTGATCTTTATTTTTCTGCAATTTTTCTGCAAAATACAGGAGTATACAATGGATGTCTTCTTCCGTCAGACATGGGTAGACAAAAGATTAAAATATGATGGCCCTATTGAAATTTTAAGACTTAACAACTTGATGGTCTCGAAGGTGTGGACTCCTGACACTTTCTTCAGGAATGGGAAAAAGTCTGTTGCACATAACATGACCGCCCCAAATAAACTCTTCAGAATAATGAGGAATGGCACGATCCTGTATACAATGAGGTATCTAGCTTGTTTTTCAGCTTCTTACAATTACTGTATGCAAAAGATGTGCTGCCTAGACAAAATGGCAACCAGAGACTATTTAATTTGTTCCATTATAGGCTTACAATAAGTGCAGAGTGTCCCATGAGATTAGTGGATTTTCCCATGGATGGTCATGCTTGTCCTCTCAAATTTGGGAGTTGTAAGTTACAATTATGAAATTTCTTGTAACTACAGAATTTAAATAGTAGAAGTAGATTTTGAGAAATTAGTGAATTTTCTGAATATTAGTTGTGATATGCAATCCATATGCAGACAAAACTCCTGTTAAGTTCTTTGGGAATTTTATTTAGGACCTGAAAATTAAACTCATTTCAGAGAACTGAAAAGTGGACCGTGATTCAGATACTGTTTTAAACTCACTGGCTACACTGTTGTTTGAAGTATATAGTTTTTCTTGGTTCCTTGGGATGAATTGAACACTCAGTGAAGCGAGAGAGACTCTGCAGAAGAGGGTGGGATTCATCTCAGCTTACTGCAGTCAGGTAAAAGGTGCCTGGGGAAGCTGTTTATTTGTCTTTCTTTACAGTCAGTGGAGTCAGGTTAAGTATGAAGATTTGTTCATCTTATATCCTATCTCCTGGCCTGTAAAGGGAGTCTGCATGACAAGTACAGGCTAGATAGTTTTTAGACTGGTGAGAGAAGTCTCAATGTAGTGCAGATGACTGTCCTTTTCTGCTTTGAAGTGTGAAGGTTATCCAAAATCCTATAGTTGACTTTTGCTAGGAGTAATGTTTTGGGCCATTTTGCACACAACAGAGAAAGATAGAAATGAGTCCTTTTTGATTTTATTCCACAACAGAGATTGCTGTGATCACGTGGGTATGGTTGATGTGCTTCATTTTCTATCTTGTCACTCTTCTAAGCCTCGTTGGTCACTGGCTTCTGCTTTTCACTGGGATGTTGTCGGTGGCTGGACAGTAATCTGTTTTCCTTGACCCCTGAATTCTGAAGTTAGAGGTTGCTGGAAGCTGCTTATCCCCTTAGCTTATACATTTAGGTTATACAGCTCAATAGCCAAGCAAAAGGAGGATATTAAGGATGCTTCTCTGATAGGGCTTTTCTTCCCAGTTATTGAAATTAGAAACCAGGTCCTGCTAGAAGTGGCTTTGGCATCAGATGTGCACTAGGGAAGCTTCAATAATGGGGACTTCTCCACTGGCATATTTCTTAGGGCAGAATCATAAATCAGTAGAAATTGTGTTTGACACTAATCTGGTATCTTTTTCAGTGAAACTTGAAGTAGAAATTTCAAATGCAAGATTGGTTTAATTTAATTTTAACAGGAGTTTGGACTGCATAGGGATTGAATGCTAGCTGTAAGTGATGTCTTTTATATTAAATGTTACAATATTTCTTTGGGTGTGCTTATTTCTGGGCTGCTTTGAATCTTTTACTGACCTCTGTTTCTGGCAGAAGAAATTAAATTTCTGCTTTTAGACTAATCATTATTTCATGTAAAGAAATGTGCACTTCATCTCCAAAATGTACCTTCCTTATCATGCTATTTTTACATAACAGTATATTTTAATGTTAAAATTTTGGATAGAAATTTCTAAATTAGCTTGAAGATAACCTGCCCATGTTTACTAAGGGCCAATGTAGAAAGAAGTAGTGTTTAACTTCATATTTGAATGTGAAGTCTAATTTGTGTATAATGCTTGATATACTACCTTAGCCTCCAATTTATTTTTTGGGGGGTAACACAGAGGTTGTCTTCTAAAGCGGTTACTGCGAGTCTTACTGATTTTGGTAAATTTGGGGAGGTGGCATTAGTAAGGTTTGAGAAGTTGTTTCCTATTTATGCAAACTGGTACTGTGTTGTAGATGCATATCCAAAGAGTGAAATGATTTATACCTGGACAAAAGGACCTGAGAAGTCAGTGGAAGTTCCTGAGGAGTCTTCCAGTTTAGTTCAGTATGACCTGCTAGGGCATACGGTGTCCAGTGAAACCATTAAATCTATTACAGGTAGGAATCGCATCAGTAAGAGTCAATTTGAGTCAAACTAAACCTGTAATACTACTCTAGGCTTTTTTTCTTTCTTTTATATAAGGAATTTTACTGAATGTCATAGGCTATATATTAGGAGGTGAAAGCGTAGATCTGAATTAGGTTTCTGTCCTTCAGATATACATTTGCAGATTCATTAATGTAGATTGCAAAGGTCTTTCAGAAAGCTAGAATCAGATCATTTCTCCAAGGGACAAAATGAGTATTTAATCACTGCTTAAAATGCAGTTTGAAGAGTCAAGAGGATGCCTGGGTAAGGAAGTAATTTCTCAGCACTGTAACCACATTATGTGCAAAAGACTTCCTTTGTTTGGTGGAACAAACAGCTCAGGATAAAAGTAGAGCATACAGAATGGGTTATTAAAACCATTAAAAACCCTCTAGTCAGATAAGCATAAGCACAAATGCATTAGTCACAATAGATACTTCTGCTGATTTGCCTTACTTCTTACAGCACAAATGGCAACTATGGGCATCTTAAATGAGTGAAGTATCACTTATGAGCAGTTTACTGATAAGCAAGCATACTCTCAAAATATTTTTAAAAATTGGAATCATTTTCTAAATATCGGCAAGTTTGGGTATTGTAAGATGGTCATAATTAAACAGATAGAGCAGTACAACACATATTTGCTTTCTGGTTATTTTTCTTAAGGACAAAACAGTATTTTGCAGTACCATAGAAGTTGACCTGCTCACATATCAATTATTATGGGTGAATGACCTGGTTTCCCTACTATGGCTACAAAATTCTTCCTGTATTCTTCCTACTATTTAGATAGTTTACTCCGTTTGTGCTGAAAATGTAATTGTTTCGTTTAATATGCGTAATGATACTTCATCTAAACTTACACTATTTTTAATTATTGTTAATGACTTTTGCATTTATATCATTATCATTGTGGTGCTAATATATAACCCTAGAGTATTCTCTTCAGCAGATGCTAAAGGAATTTTCAAATCATACTTGCATTACAAAAACTGATCCAGACTTAGCTACACATTTATAATATTTTAGATAGCATTTTAAGAATGACACTATAAGGACCTTCTATTTCCAACATTTTTTGTTTAGAACTTATCTTTGTTCTTGTCTCATAAGATGTCTTCTTTTCTATATGTGTTAAATATGTTGTTGTATGAATCTTAAAGAATCTTAGCTGATAGTTTGGAACAATTAATCTGTGACATAAAAAAAATGTGTAGTCAGAAAAATCCTTTTTTTTTTTTTTTTTAGGTGAATATATTGTTATGACAGTTTATTTCCACCTCAGACGGAAAATGGGTTATTTTATGATTCAGACATATATCCCGTGCATTATGACCGTCATCCTTTCTCAAGTTTCATTTTGGATAAATAAGGAATCTGTACCAGCTAGAACTGTATTTGGTAATTATTTCAGTTTTTCACTTTTTATCGTGCTTTCTCAACTATTTTCTCTAGACTAGACACAAGGTCACAAGTGTACTGCCTCTGTATTGGCACAGATGCAAGGACTTAAGGTAAACTCAGAAGAATTGTCACTATCAGTGTATAAATAAATTAGTTTGTGAGACCTTGGATTCAAAAGATGCTTCTCGAAAATATTCCAAACTTAACCTGGTTGTCTGTGGCAAGTCGGTGTACACTGGTGAGGATTTTAGGTGCTTGGGGTATCAGGATGAGAAGACTTGGCCTGAAATGATTTATTCCTTAGTCTGTATACAGACCAGTTTTATCCTTCAGTGAGCAGCAGTGCAGTACTTGAATGCATGCTTTCTGAAATCCTATTAAAATAACTTGATTGGGAACATGTGAATGTAGATATATAGATATCTATGTCATCAGTGGAAGCTTGCAGAGGGTAAAGCTTAGATGTAATTTCATTTATAGTGATCTTCTTTCCTGTCTACTGTTGCCATTATGAAAATGAATTAATAAAGAAAAATGATTGCAAGATATTAAAAGTGAATTAATCAAAATACAGTTTAAATGTGATGGTACAGTAAACACTGAAAATAAAAATTTTAAAAGCTCCAGCAGAAGATTAAGTGTAAGTAATTAAAGGAATTAAATGGAAATATGGTTCCTAACAAAGGAATAAGACAAAAACATTTTTAAAAGCAGTCTTCATAGAGAGAAATGTCTTGACTTTACAATATACTCTAGTAGAAAGCTAGATTAATCAAGAAAATGTTCTACAAGAAAGCTTTGATATAGCTAGATGCTGGAAAGAGGGACAAGAATTAATGTTTCTACGTGATAGCTCACCCAAACATGTAAGTAAAGTCTTAACGCTGTTTGGTATCACAAATTAGACAAGATTAATCATTAGTTATAAGAAAATATATCCGCCAAACAGGAATGTTGTTTCACATGTCTTTCCAGTAATGCTGAATAATGGTACTTCTTAAGTATAGCCATAAACTGGAAAAGTAGAATCTGTATTTATAAACAAAACGTGGTAATGAAAATGCACAAATTATGCAGCAATAGAAGAAATATGTGTCAGTATATCCATATAAGAAGCTGGGAACAAATAATAATAAAGTTTGGACATCTATTAAGTTGCATTTAGTTTCTAATATGCTTTGAAAAGAAATGTCATACAATATGGCTATAAGTACTTTTATAAAGTTTTCTGTCAAGTGCCAAAAGGGACCCTAAAAGTAATTTTAAGAGAATATAGAAATGTTGCAGACAAGATGTAAAAATGAAGCTATGAATATGAGAATATGATATGTGATACTGACTTTCCAGAGAAACAGTCAGGATAAGCTAAACAAAAGACTTTCCATTGGACAATGCATGGCTGGAGAGAACTTGGCAAAGATAACACAGAAAGGACACGCAAGGAACAATCTAGGGAGTTTCTGCCTGTCAAGATGTCTGTTACTGTGGAAAAGATTTTGAACATGATGCTCTATGAATGCTTTTCACATGGAACAAAGACATAATTTGGTTTTGCTATATATTCTGAATGTTTAACAAGTTGTGTGGCTGAGAGATAGCATTCAGAGAACATCTGTCTTTTTATGTAGCTCTAGTATGCCACTTGAATAGAACACATGCATAATCTCTTGCTTACAAACCCGTTGTATGATGTCTGAACAGTTTATCTTGCTGGTGAGTGCTTTATTTACGTATCCCTGAAATAAGAGTATCTTGCTGGGAGTTGTCTTCCAGGACACTTTTTCACAAATAAGTGTGACCTTTTACTTTCTTATGTCCATATTAAAAACAAAGTAGAATAAAATGGGGAGGGATTGGGCATGCAACTAAATTCTAGTAATGAATCTGTGTTCAGTCATTTGACTTAACTACAACCATATGACACACTTCTCTTCCAGTTTTAGCATGTGAGTGCTGAGTGGTCTGATAAAGTATGCATGGAACAGCAGCACATATCCTTCAGGTTCTTTTGTGAATCTTGAGACCACCATAGTCCAAAAAAGCTGGGTAGCAGTGCTGCAAATAAGCCAGAGAAGGCATGGATGAGTTGGAAGATGTGAGGACATTGCACTGGTCTATTGCATATTAGCCAGGCATGTTTATGCAATTGCATGTGAAGTAGTGGTTTATAGCTTTTATAAAGACTTCTTGCTCTGGTGCTGAAACTTTTAAGAGTTTAATAAATCTTACTAACTTACCCCAGTAAGAGCTATAGGCATGTGAATCTGATGGTTGAGGAAGACTAGTGTTTCTCAAAGTGAGAAAGAGAAAATTTTCTTTTCTAATCAAGTTTTTTTTTTTTTAATAGTAAAATAGTATATTTTTTTCACAATTATCCGTAATTCTGATCAGAAGCTTGCAAGTATTTTGCTCTGGATAGTTGCAGTTCATATGTATATATGTGCATATACGTGTGTATATGCGTATAAACACAAGGGCAGGAAATTAAGTTGTGGTAAAATCTTATGTGTGTGTGTACGTATATATACATGTACACACAGGTTTTTACCAGAACTTAATTTCCTTCCCTTGGCACATATCTAGGAACAGCTACAGTGGCAACTTGCAAGTCTCTCAGAGGAATGTTTTAATAGGAAAAAACTGAGGAAGATTGGGGTAATAGACAGTGTAATACTGTCACAGCCTGCCCTCTGCTCCATTCATTTGTCATTTGAGTCATTTCATCCTATTCTTAAATCTATTAAGTAAATGTCTTTTTAAAACACAATTCAGAGTACCTATTTGCTTGAAGACTGCAAGAGTAGAATCAGGAAGGATAGAGTAAGCAGGGATGTGTCTCTTTCAGGATAAAATAACTTCCCATAATTCTTTCTCAGAATTAAATATTTTTAGTGGCGTGTTTTTTAACACCTTCCCACTGAGGAAGATTTTGTGTTTTTTATCCTGCTGAGTTTGCTCTGAAATGCTATTTGAGCTTTTATGAACTAGACACTGCTTCTTTGTCTTTAAAAATTAAGCTAGCAACAGCAACAAAAAGCTCTAATATGAGAGACTGGCTTAATTTTGTCCTATTTTCTGTATGACAATGTCTAGTTGAAGGTTTTTTCTTGATAAGTTACCCAAATGAGATATGCCTATTTAAGAAACAGGGTGGGTGAAGGTCCTGTTTGAAAACAGGCTATCAATTATTTTGAATTCTTTCCGTACATACGTTTAATCTTGTGTGAGTACAATGTTGTTTTCATAAAAGTGAAGATACATGCACTTGTCAATCTTCCTTGAGATCATTGTGGTAGCACTTGAGCAATGTTCACCCTGTACATGGTAGTTTTTATGTGGGAGACGTGGGATACTTCATGTTTTAACTAGTCTTAGAATAGTTTGGATGAGAGGAAAAAAAAAAATCATTTTTTGTTTTTCTATAGCTAGTGTTTGACACTTGAACTGTCACAATAAAGTGGTCATATTTTGCTCAGTGTTCGTGCGTGTATACTTTAATTGAAGTTATTCTTTCAGAAGATGAAATCCTAATTAAATTTAACTGGTCGACTAGTAGCAGAAGGATTTGAAAGATAAGGTTATGACTTACTAATTAACAGAGTTGTTAACGTAATATTTGAGTTTTCCTTAGCACCAAAAATATTTGCCATGTTTTAGTGGCATCTGGTTTATGAGCGTGATCAGAGTAATAGGTAGCTTTCCAAAACCATTAAAGGAAAAATCATGCTGTTCTTGCAGTCCAGTGAGCAAAACATACACCTGATAATCAGCTTAATTACATTCAAACGTTTAGAAAATTATTTGTTGTAGGAAATTCTACAAAATTTGACATAAAAAATATGTATTGAAGACTTTTACCATTTCTGCACGTGAACTGTAAGTGATCTAGTGAAGGCATGGCTCTCTTAAAAACTGGTTACCTGTTGTGTGTGTACAACTCTGCTCATTAGTACATGGTGATTGCTGGGACTTAAATCTAATGCAGTAGTCATAAGATGCATAGAAAGGCTTTCCTCCATTTTCTTAATCTAACAGAGCAATGAGTTGTTTTCACTCTGACTGTCAGTTCTTTCCTGTGTTCATTTTTATGAAGAGTGGATTGCTGAGTGTAGGATCTCAGAGGTTCTTAAGATTGTCTTATCAAGCAAACACAGGGTGCGTTGTCTGATGGCAACATCTGAATCTTGCAGTAGTAGAGCAGTAATAGACTAGTAATAGCAGTAGTATTACACAGTGCATTATTTTGCAGTGCTGGAAAAAAGGTAGTTATGTTATACTGTATTTCCTGTGTTGATTTAAATGTGAAAATCTCTAGTATTATTACTTCGATTTCTGGTAATATATATACATATATTTAACTGAGTAGGAGATTTATTTTCTTCCATTTGATGTCAAGATTGAGTGTCACATTCACTGGAGTAACTTTTGTTATAACTTTTTTCAGTGTAACTGCTTTTTCATTCATAATAGTTGGCTTTACAATCAGAGATAGAGATTTAAATCGCTCATAGGTGATATGAAACTCTTTGTTTGTCTACTTTCATATTCTCTGTCTGATTTACTTGCATTCAGCAGTGCTTTTGTTTTGTTTCTTTGAAGGAATAACCACAGTGTTGACAATGACGACACTGAGCATCAGTGCAAGACACTCACTGCCAAAAGTATCATATGCTACTGCCATGGACTGGTTCATTGCGGTCTGCTTTGCCTTTGTGTTTTCTGCTCTTATTGAGTTTGCTGCTGTCAACTATTTTACTAATATTCAAATGGAAAGAGCCAAAAGGAAGACGGTAAAATCCCTCCTTGAATTTCCGGTTGCTCCAATACAAAGAGAAAAAAATACAGAAGTGACGCACACGGTACGTTTTCAGTTTACACAAATATTTTCCATTTTTCTTTTTGTAGCCTTTCTCAACAAAACAGGCCTTTAACTTTTTTCCTTTCAGCCCCAAAATCTTCCCCTGCCATTCCAGCATCTTCCTATTCCCTGTAGAGGAGGCAATGAATAAAGTTCTTGACATTAGTCTCAGCTGGTCTTCTGCATCCTGGCCCAACTCACCAGACTTGTGTCTCCATTTCAGAACTGTGAAACAGAAGAGCCTGTTTTGCATTTCCTTGGGGACAGCTACTCTGGAGGCATGCAGTTCCCTCTACAGGGCAATCAGAAAAAAGCGTTCAGCTTATTCTTCAGAATCTGGATGCAGAGTTGTTATAAGTGTCTGGCAGACAAGTTTCTCTCCTGCATGAAGTATAAGTTAGTATTATGCAAGATTAATGCTATGACATATTCAATGAAAAAATCCTGTAAAACTTTATTTGATTTTTTACGTGCAGTATTAGAGATTGGAGGAGGAGGTTATGCCTGTCCATACCTGCCATCTCTTCTATGTTTTGTTGTGTTTTAGTGAGGGTCGGTTAGAATGGATATCTTTAGGAAAGTTTCATTTCCTTTATGTGTTGATTCTGCTTGGACTGATAATACAGACCAGATATTACAGATTATATAGAGAACATGTTATCTTCTATGATTATTTTTTTTTTAAATGAATTAAAATATGCTAAAACATTGCAATTATACTTCAGAGAATTTCTCAACCATCGCTGTTCTCCTTTCACTGCACATGTTGCCTGTGTAGAATTTTCTTTCTTATTCAGTTATAATTTCAGGAAGTTTTTAAAGAACACTGGGTAAAACATTTGTGTGCACCATGGATGTCATTTTTATGTTACCTATATATCTGCACAGGAACTCACCTCAGTTTCTGAAAAGATTTTGGGGCCCTTAACAGAATGCTTTTCAGCTTTCATAGTGCTCGAGGTTTTGAGACTTATGTGGTAGTTACCTCAGTTGTGTGGACCAGTTAACAAGGGTATGATCTTGCTTCCAGTTGAGCTCACCAATGATTCTCCTTCCCTCCCTGTTTTGGTTCCCCTTTCCTTGCTAGCAGCTGCATTCCTTCTCCTATTCTTCAGACACATAGCTAACAAAGTCATTCCACACTTGCACTCACCATATGGTAGGCCAGTAACTCTGTTATGACTGGCTCTCCTGACAACATCACTCAAGATGTATGACACTGACAGCAGCATCATAATTCACTCTTCCTGTCAGACTGGTTTTCTAATTTCCTTTTACTGAGTCATGATTTAAGAACTACTGTTTTAGATGAACTCTTGGCAATTTTGTCTTCTGTGTCTTTCCACATCTCATTTGTTTCTTTCCTTATTCATTTGCTCTTTTTGCTTTCCCACTCAATCCATTTGATGTCACACCTCAGTTGCTGTCCACCCACTTCCATTTTTCTTCATTGCTCTCCTATCATAAATCATCAGAGTTTTCAATCTTCTGGCTATGTTGTTCTGCTACTCCCAGTTCAACTTAAAAGAATAGATGTGTTCCTGAAGAGTTTATTACATGTCACTCTGTGTGCTGCTAGCAAGAGACAGGAATAAGAAAATATATGCTTATAGCAGCAAGTGGTTCTTCTTGTGCATAGAGGTATTAGAGTTGTTAGTTTATCTGGCTAATTTTGACAATACAGCATACTGTTTTATATAATATCAGGCACTCTGAGTAGTGTTAATAAGTATTTGTTTAGGAGATAGTCAGGTTTTACTTGAGTCTGTAGAAAAATAAATTGCACTATAAAAGATGATACTGGATTTATTTATAAAATGTAATTAAATCCAAAAGAAAAAGTCTTCTCAGTTTGTAATAGCAGAGGTTTAAAATACTACTTGTGATTCATGGTCAGAATTTTTGTGTGTTGGTCTTGTACTTAACCATTTACACAAATGTTTTGGATAAGCTGTTTTAAAACAAACAAAACCCATCAACAGCAACAACAGTCCACACAGATTCATCCAACTTTAAAGCTAGGCAACTTGAGGTGTAATGTTCTATTCCACTGCAAAATTAATATATCTGAGGTAGATTTGGTAATCTGCTGACACATTTTGGGATCTTGAAAACACTCAAGGGAGCAATCTAGCATTTAGAAGTTTTATATGTGAACACTATGAGTTTGTATGGCAGTGATAATAATATTATTTGCACTGTTACTGTGTTTTCTCTAGTCGTGCCCGTGCTAAAATTTGTGTTTGCTTTTCTGTGGGAAATGTAGGGAATGAGCTCACAGATATGTTAGACTTATCTATCAGGCAGTGCCTTCATTAACTAAGTGATGATTTCTGTCCGTGTATTCTGCTTCACAGAACAGTCTTTAGAAGCTAATGTGACTGGTACATTGCTTTCCAACGTGATGTGTGATACAGTCTTTCTCCTTAATATTTCAGTTCTAGGTCTAAAAGGATAGTCTTGAATCTTATGTCTTATAAATCTAATTTTTCTCCATGTATACTGTCTAATCAGTGCTGGATTTCCAGAGGTTAAAATCCCTGCTTCACTGCAAATTTGTGGTACACAAAGAATGCAGAGTGATAGCCTATAGCGTATCATTTCTAAGCATTATTTCTCAAGGTAAATGATAGACATTTTTTCTCCATAGCTATATTATAGAATTTGATTTCTTAAGCCAGCTTGATGGGGCTTTTTTTGTTTTGTTTTTTAAGGAGCCTGTACTATATTGCCACTGCTGTGCTAGAAATTCTGTTGTTAGCACAATCACTAGAGATCAAGGAAAAACTGATTTACACCATTGTCTCCTGGAATTTCATTGTCTTGGGACCAAGCTTAATTACTTTAGGGTTGGAAGGAGCTAACCTGTCCCAAAGCATTCTGAACTCCTTTCTTTACTAAAAGCAGAAATGATGTTGCAAGTCAGCGTGTGATGGAAATGAATGATTTATAGTTTGTTATTGGACTCCTGAGTCTATTTTTATGCTTCTGCACTGTTTCCTTTTCCCTGTATTCCTATGAAGTTTATTTTTAAAGACCTATCCAATTTTGGAGATGAAAAATGTTACTGAAAAATATTCTTCAAAAATAGGCTTCTAAACACTGTTAGCATGAGCTTCAAAGTCAGCTGTTTGTTTCAAGAGTGTGAAACTTGAAAAAAAAAAAAAAAAAAAAACACCAAAAAAAAAACCAGGTCAGTCTTGAGCAAACTTTTTGAATGGAATAATTTCTTCAGAGTTGATTTCAAGGAGATTATAATTCCCAAACTTCCTGTTTTCTGAAGGCATTTAAATGTTATAAATGTCATCTTACGTTGGCCAAATAGCATTTAATAAAGGAACTTGAGGGTCAGGTTCTTCACTGTCTCATGGATGCACACTCCTGTCCTTACTGGGCATACTGGTGTGATGTGTGCACCTCCTGAGATTATAAGCAATGTTCTCATTTTTCTTGTTACTTTTGATCGGGATGTACAATAGCTTCCATTCTGCCAGCAAATGGAGAAGTGCAGTTAATACCATCTCTTTATATGTGGAAGAAATTATCTGAGGAGCAGCCACATCTCAATTGGGATACTGACACTGGCATAAATGGCAGGTCAAAAATTGTAAATATTTTTCTTAACATTTTACATGATATGTATTTCTGAAGAGTATAAATTGAAGTGTTACATTAAAAACTCTGGTCTTTTTCCAAAAACCTGACTGCTTTACCTTTAATACATTTGAATGTGGAATAAATTTACACTGGAAGCAGAGACACTTGTATTCTGCCATGTGAGCAGAGTAATTACTGAAAGTACACAATGTAGTATTAGGTGTGACGCTAGATTCTGATCCAACTAAAGTGTGATGTAAACTCCACTGAATTCCAGAAAAATAGCTGGGTGGTGATTAATTGAACAGAACTGCTGGAATTCAAAGTCGTGGAATGAGACTTCAGTATTCAAAGTGGGAATGATTTTTTTCTGATATGCACGAAAGGGAGAAGTTTAATTTCAACTCTAGGTTTATGACCAAGCAAGAAGTCCTGCTGGATTGCTGTCTTCTCCAAACCTTCCTTGGAAATGTGGTAATTTATCACTCTTTAAACTTCTGTAAGTATCATAACAAACTACCACAGTTATGGGTAAGGGAATATGAGAGAGATGCTCTGCTGTTAGCATCTGATGCTCAATGACTTGATGGTGTTTGGTCTAGTTACTGGGAGACCTAATTTATATGGCATTAGGATTAGGCTTTTATTTTGGAAACCAAAGCATAGCTTGGTAATGCCAATCTCTCAAATGATTATTCTAGAGAATATTAAGCCTTATAGTTTTTAATTAAAAATATTGAAGTGTTTGTCGTTCTGCTGATCTCCTGAAAAAAGGCACTCTTTATGGTTTCATCATTAGAATGAATAATTCAAGTTTCTGTTTAATAATAATAAAAGTTACTTTCCTTGTAAGTTTTAGGCATTCAGTAAGGTCTTGTATTGATCTAATTGCAACTACCTTATTATTTCTTATTTTCTTTTTGTAGTACAAATATACAAAACGAAAACAAAAAATGATAATGTGTGGTTCTGTTTCAGAACACCATCACAATAAACCTGTATGGTGACAGCAGTAAGATTTTCAGATTGTTTGATATCACTTACTATGCAAAATCTTGGGGAATTTATGGTTTTTCCTCATGATCATGATGACTAGTATGAAATGATGCTTATGAATTTAAGCCTCTTCAAATGTTCTGCTTACAATTACTTAAAAGTATTTATACTTAATTTTCAGTTTTGTTTCTCCTCCACTATGAGTTTTCAATACTTGTGAGCGCAGTGACAATGAATTGCTGTTCACTTTCATAGCTATGTGTGAGATTTCTAGCTGATTTCATTTTTACTCTGGGAAAATTGGAATTAGAAGAAATAAATGTTGAGAAGCTTGGGAAAGTCTAGGAGGCAAGGACTGTTCAAGGCATTTTCAGCAGACTACTGAAGCAAATTCAAATACAGCTTTAA